TTGTTTTTTGTTTTTTGTTTTTTTTTGTTTTGTTCGTTTAATCATCTAATGGTCGTTATGAAGGTGTACAGGATGTACCTAAGTGATCACATGCAGGGTGTTGTGGTGGGGCAGCTTGGAAAAATATCCGTTCACATAAAGCGCAGACTAGGAACAAGAAAGGGAGTGGGCATTGGGAATAGCTGTAAGGAAGGAAGTTCAGGGGGAGTAATGGCAGAGGTTGAAAAACAGAGCAAGTGGGCTTGGCCTACGAAGAAATATGTTTTCCTATTACTCATCTCTGTTTCAGTTGTTTAAATACAGCTAGATGTGTAATTCAAGTGAATTTTGACCTTAGACACTGAAGTCAACAGTCATGTTGCACCATTCCTAGCAGACAAGGAAACTTTATAAGACTAATCTTGAGGTGCTGGATTTCTGACAACATCTGTCAATAATTTTGCATTTTTCTCTTGATTGTGTATAAATGGTGAATTGGTACTAGGAAATAGGGTAGGGAAGTTGTTACTGCTTGTGAGCTTTGATAAAAATTCAGTAACCATAAACTCTTTCAAATAAACTTGATGTCTTGCATGAAGAGATCTACTCGTATGGGAAGTAGGAGTAGGATACTGATTTTGAAAGAAGGTTAGGTTCAGTCAGAAGGGAATTTATTTTACTGTAGATAGGTAGTTTTAAAAAAAATCCCAGAAATCCACAGATTCCTCTGAAAGGCAACTTGTACAAAAATGATAGGTGACTAAATCATAATTTCATTTATTTCTACATATTTTATTTTATAAATAGTTATTTTACTGACAAGTAAATAGCTCTGATGCTATTTTATAGTGCAGAAGAAACTTGAATTTTTTCTCATTTTTCATCATATTAAAGCTATGATAGTTATACCAAGAGTGAAATGTGTTCTGACTGGATATATTGCATACACATTTATTAATTATTACCACAGAATAAAATGTGTATAACTATAAAATATAGTATGCATGAAAGATGTGATAACTCTGGTATTACCACAGGGACTGAATTTTATGAAACTGTTTTGTATTTTCTACTTTGCCAAATGGCACGTTGCATCATTCTCATCATCACCAGTGTTATGTTTGTAAGCAGTATCTAGGCACAGTTTGGCTTTCAAATGTTTGAAGATTCCGTTATGTCCTTGACTTACATGAACTCACTCACACTTTACACTTTCTAAAATTTTTGCAGCTAACTTTTCTGAGCAAGTAGTTGAAAGCTTTCCATCTGATATCTCTACTGGTATATACTATGGATGGGCCTGTGTTGGAAATGGAGATGTGCATAAAATGGTTTTGAGCATAGGATGGAATCCTTTCTATAAGAATGTTAAGAAATCAGTGGTAAGAATTTTGCTTTGTGGGGGATTTTTATTATAATAAATGAGCCAGATATTGAATTTTAATAAGATAAGCAGAATTTGATCTATAATGAGATTTAGAAATTCTGTTTGCTCTTAGAAATGTATTTGGTATCTATATCATATGTTTGTATTCTGAAAAGGAAACACTTAGTAGCCAGAGAGCATGCAGCTATAGGTGAATAAAATTTATTTTCTTCTTTTTATTCCATCACTACTTAAATACTTCCAAAATAAAAATTTAACAGCATTTCTGAAATGGTGGTTGCTTATGGTGCTGAAATAGCTAACTAAACATAAGCTTGATAGATGCGTTGAATTTACTGGTTATGAAAGCATGAGCTGGAACATACTAATCTATTGTTGTCTCCAAGCTATCTACATTTAAAATAAGAGATGTTGGGGCATCTTAATTTGTGATGATTTTATATTAATTCTTCTCTTAAACTATGGAATCCATACATGAGGTGCTGTGGCTTCATATACAGAATAAATATGCAAAGGTAGATGATAATAGGGTGGAGGAGTTGAGTTAAAATCCTGAGCTGTGACAGCTGTGGTTTTCTTGCTGTCAGGTGCTGGTGCTTTTCCTGAGCCTTGCAGAGCTCTGTTTTAATTGTTTAAAACACTTTTATTTGGGCATGAATCTTTGCTTCTAAAGTTATGGGTGTGTGAAGACTCCATAATGTGTTTGTCTTACGCAAATGTATACTTTTTGATAAAAGATAACTTTTCTGAACAAATAGTCAAAAGCTTTCCACCTGATACCTCTGCTAGTATATGCTATGGGTGGGCCTATGTTGGAGAGGGAGATGTGCTTAAAATGGTTTTGAGTGCAAGATGGAACCCTGTCTTGGCACTCACTCCTCGAATTTTAGCATTCAGTTCCCCTGTGAGCTGGCTGTAAAAGCTCTCCTTAAGCCAACTAATTCAATCCAAATCTTCATAGTTCTTTAGATGCATCAACTTAACAACAAAATGTTAAGCTTTGTTTGTGATTTGCCACCTTGGAAATCTTACCTCCAAGAAGTAGTGAAGCATTTCTCCTGAGTAATGGCGCTTTCTAAATTTTTTGTTTTTAATTCCATGCAAAGTACAATTCTTCTTCCTAACATAAGAAGAAGCCCTAGCCTTTTAATCTTGCATTATACATGATAAACTAAATGTCCCTTTTATTGGTATGTGTTGGGGAGAATTTAAATTAGGGGTATTAGCTGTACATCCTTACGATGAGGGAAATACACTCAAAGTTCATAATAAATGCCAACTTATTTCTCTTTCTTTAGGAAACGCACATTATTCACACCTTCAAAGAAGACTTTTATGGAGAAATTCTTAGTATAGTCATAACTGGATATATTCGACCGGAAAAAAACTTTGATTCTTTAGGTCAGTATTGCAGGTCTCCCTCAAACTAGTTTCTTACTTGTCCTGTCCATGCAAGTACTGTGTCTTCACTGTCTCTCTTTCCATAATGAGATGTTTTATCTGTTAACCATTGAAATTTCAGTAAAATGTTTTCATAAGCTAAATGTACAAGTTGGTTTAATTAAAAAACCCAACCAAACAAAAACATACTCCCACATCTTCTAGTGTATCACACTAAAAATTGTATTGTTGTGTCACTTGTCTGAGGAGTAATTTTAAAATCATGAACTTGTTGTAAAAGCATCGGCCTAGTCTGTTAATTTATTTTTAAAATGCAGCTCTGGTAGACTTGAAATGGTTCATGAAACTGTTGATATTTTGCTAAAATGTCTTTTGGAACAGGGAAAGGGTAGTGCTTATAATGGTGAAAAACACAACTCTGACATGTTTAAAAAGAAAAAAGGCATTTTAAACCCAATGATTTTTGCCTTTCAAACCTTGTGGTAATGATTATATTCTACGTCTGTGATTTTTGTTTGGTATTCTATGGTACTCCTTTTTTCACTTGCTATTGTGTATTCAGAATTCAAACCAACTTTTAAATATCTCTATTCTTATCTATTTCAGAGGCGCTCATTTCAGCAATTCAGGAAGACATTGAAGAAGCAAAAAGACAGCTAGATTTACCAGAACATCTTAAACTGAAAGAAGATAACTTCTTTCATCTGCCAGGAGGCAAAATAGCTACCAACCACTGAGCAAGCCTGTACTGCTTTTTTTTTTTTTTTTTTTACCTTTGTCATGGAGCTTTTATATTTGTGCTGCTTTTATAAGTACTTTTTTGTCATATGTCTGTTGAGGTAACTGAGGTTGGAACCAACCATACAAAATTATTTCAGTTTCCTTGTATTAATTTATCATTAACCCAGTCATGCAAAAGGAATAGAAGGCTGTTTTAGGTACTTACAGATAAATTGTATCCTAAAGTTACCAGCTGTGTGGAGATCTGAGCACATGCAGAGCATGACCAGTTAATCGTGACCTCTTCTGAGCTTAAGGTATAGACAATTCACTTAGGCGAAGAATGTCTGGTTTTAACATACAGAATGTTATTCCAACCTCTTTTCCCAGTTTTGTGACCTTCTTACATCTAGATTTTAGCTAGTAGCTTAAAAAATTTTGCTATTGATTGAATCAGAAATTTCCTGTGCTGCAGGAAGCCAATGTTTATAACAATAGCAAGATTAATTCTCTATAGTTCTTAGTTTTTATATGCTACATAGCTGTTGTGATTGAAGTTGTTATTTTAATTCAAATTATTTATTTTAAGTTTATTTGAAATGGAGGAAATCACTGTTGCTCGTTGAGTTACTGGAGTCTGAAATATACTTCTTAATAGTTGATTGTACATATGACAACACATGACCTTTGTAGTTTACTTCTGAGGAAGTGTTTCACTGCAATTCAGGAAATTAATGACAGTGTGAAAGTTGATAAACTTTAAGGGTTCAGGTGCAAAACATGCAGAAGCAGTATAACAAGACTTCTGCTCATTGGGCCTAAGGCAAAAGAGGTAACAAAAGGCAACTTTGCATTTTATGTGCTACTTGCATTTGTAATACAAAAATGGGGAGAATCTTGGGGTTATTCCGTACACTGGCAATTAAATGGCTGACTTCAAGATTGACATTATTGTAAGGCACAGAAAAATCTCATCAACTCTCTGCACCAAGTGCAGGTAAGAGCCAAGGTTTTGGCTGACCAACGAGATCAATATACAAAGGAAAACCTTTGGGGATTAATGGAATAATATATCAAACCTATAGTGGCAATTGGTTATTCATTACAAGTAATTGCAGACGACCCTACTCTGAAATGTAGGGACCGGTAAATGGAGGGGGTATTGTCAGAATTCATAGTAATTTGGAAAATACATCTTCAAGTATGTGATGTGTGATTCCAAATCTACTCTTTCTTTTCCTCTGATAAATTTTTCTATCCCCTACTCAGTGAGTGGAACTAGGTAAGCTGCAATGACTTGTCACGCTCATCATCTTTTGACGTCAGCTTCTGATGCGGCTGGAACATTTTCTGAAATTCATAATGGTTCTGTGGATGTGTCCTAACTGTAGTTCTGTGTCTGAACTACTATGTACAATTTGGAACACACAATTTCTGTAGTGCAATTTTACAAATTTACTCCTTGTCCTATCCTATTCAAATTGTACTTTTCACTCCAGGGTTTAAGACAGTTTTAACAAGGTAGCCATTTGGGTCTTTGTGGCGCGTGCTTTCAGGATGCTAGTTCCACTTTGTATTGTTTTAGCTTTCAGATAACATCATGCGATATTTTTAGGGAGGAGGTCTTGAGCAAATTGAGGGCTTGTGTTTGCTCTGTAGGACTTCAGAAGAAACTTGATTTCATTTAAATGAATTGTTTACCAGCGCTGTTCATAGCGGAGACAGGTGGAATACAGAACAAGGGGGGAGGTGGGGAGGCAGTTATCAGTAGTTAGATATACTTTTTTTTTTAAAGGAGAATAAAATAATTTTGTGGACTTTTTCTATATAACATGTTGGAAATTGTATTTCTAAAAAATCTGTAAAAGAATTATCTTGCAAGAGTGACAGCTGGAATTTTTTTTTACATTTTAAAATGGAGGGATGAGGGAGAATTTTTTTCCAAAGATTTGAGGCATTCTTGAGATTGTAACAATGTCAAAATCTTACATTTTACTTCTTAAAAAAGAGAATAAACACAAGCCACGCTAGTTGACTGAATATATTGTCCAAGAATATATTTAAAGAATAGATTGTTGTTCAATGTGGTACTGTAGCTAAACAGTCATAGCCTTCTTTAAAACTGTTTTTTGTCTGTAATTTCATGTGTCCATTGTGGAAACCATGGTGCCTTAAGCTGGTTGTCTGGATGATGCTTTTCTGTATCTACAAATAAATGCTACTATTGAAAATTCAATTCACCATTTGGTTATAGAACCACTGTGCTATCAATACAGAACCGTGGCAAAGGGAAAACTTAAAAACTGTTAGTTTGCTCTCAAATCTGAGGTTGGATATGTGGATACACTAAACTGATAAACTGCTCTTTGTGTGTTTGTCTTTAAATTAGACAAAATGCTATTACATTCATTTGGCTAAGTGTACCTGTCCACATTATTTAAGAGAAAATGTTATATATAAACTGTTCAAATGCAATACATAATTCCTAGCACAGTATAAACTTTATGAAGGGTTATATTTTTGTATTATGTACAAATAATTGTATTTATTTCAGTTGATGTTGCTGCACTAAATAAAGGAACTGTAATTGACAAAGTTATCCTTCTTGTCACAGGCTTCCTCCTTTGCCATGCCTAGCAAAGACAGTTGTCTCAGTCTTACACAAAGTTTTGTGGGGATGACAGCCTAAAAAGCTAGATGACAAAAGAGTAATGAGATGTTCTTCAACCTTCCTGGTGTATTCTGAACACTGGTCTCACTCTGGGGACTTTTGTGCTTTAGTCAGAACTTAGGGGAGCTACAGCCTTAGAATTCACAGCCTGAAACCCATGAATTGATTTCTCTATACACTGTCTTTCAAAACTTTTTGAAACTGGTTGTTTCTTTTAGGATTCAGATGGAAGAACTGCATTCTTGTCCTACGTTCTGCTTCAATTGTTAAACATTTATCTAGGGCAGGGCAAGGACTTTGCTGCTGAAGGACGGTCAAACCTGTATCTTAAAACATGTTATTGTGGCTCTGGCCGCTTTTAGGAAAAAGTTCCTCTGGTACTTCCACTCTTGGCAACTGTTTATATGTGGACCTTTATATAACCTCTGCCTGGCATCACTGGTTACGTTAGGAAAGAATGTAGGATATTTTGGTGGTATAAGTGGTAAGGGTTGCTTTTCTGTTGCAGGTAGTGGACTGTTCAGTGTAGACTGGCATCTGTCAGAAGTCGTGCTTTTAACAACAGAGTGCCCAGACTGGAGGTATGGATATAAGAGAGAAATCCTCAAGCACCTATGTTGTTCAGGGCTTTTCTTCAACACTCAGCACTATGATTTCCAAGCATTCAGATTTTCTACTAGTTCTCTTCTGGAAGTAAAATTAAATTTAAAAAGTAGATTGCCTTTAGAAGTCTTTTGTAATGACTATGCTCTATATACAGGTATAACCCTTTTTCCACACATGCTTGTATTTTCTGAAGGGAGAAGGAAGGTTTAAAAAAAAAAAAAAGACACAAACCAAAAAAACCCCACAAACCCAAAACCTAAGGAGCAGAAGGCTGTACTTGCTAGTGTAGTGATTGGAAGACTTATGTTATCTACTCTTCCAAAGGAATTTTTAGGTAGATTTGTGGCCTCTTTGGTTTTTAAATGGGCTGGAGCTTTAAAAATGTTACTAACAATGGCAGTTATTATCTAATCAGGTGCATAACTCAAGGTAGTGATCTCTATCTTGATCTATAATGGTTGGGAACTAATTTTGGCTTCTTGTTTGTGGCTCAGAACAACCAAGTGCTTAGTATCTTTTATATGTTCTTAAGTTTGCAGTTGGTTTGCTTCTGTGCTGCTAAGATTCCTAAGTGGAAGAAGGCGGCAAAATTCAATGCAATAAATGAATACAGTAAGATTTGTATTTGTCACTGTTGTTTCCTAATGATGAGAACCTAGGTGAGGGATTTTTTTCTTTCCCCCCCCTGGTCCTTATTGAAAAAAAAACCCTAATAAATTTGGAATTTAAATGATGTTAAGTGACAAGAAAGAGAATAAAGGATGCAACAAAATAATTAGATGGGGATTTTGGTCATGGCACACACAGTGAGCGAGGATGGAGGAAGTCAAGAAAAAGAAGAACAATTTAGCATAAGGGTTGTTAGAGAAGTGTAGAACCTGAATGCTTCGTGAAAAAGACAAGTCCTTATCTAGATGCTGAACAGATAATATAAATGAGGAACAATAAAAGAACACTTCCCTTTTTGAAACTTGACTGAATGTGTAATATAAATCTGCAATGTCATGCAAAGAAAAAATAAGTGCATACGTTTTGCTGGTTAGGGACATCTGCGTCCTGCTTAAACCTGTTCTAAAAAGGGACAATGGGAAAAAGTTGTAACTGCTTCTTACTTTAGAATGTTATATACTTTTCTGGGGACAAAACTTCCATTGGGTTCACAATTAATGAAGTCTCAGGAGATTTGTTAAAATCAGTTTTTAGACATGTATTGGGCAACTCCCTAAATATTTCTGAGCAGTAGGAAACAACCAATAAAAGTAGGAATATGCTAGTTACTTGGAAAGACCAGAAGTTACATGTGCATACTTACCTGGCAGGGGAGACGCCATGATCAGGCAGGTTGTTTTCCCAGGGCGAGGCTCATCCCCTGCAC